TATGCAGTTGATTTAGAATAAACTTCGGTTTTTTACAAGTAGAAGAAAATGAATATATTAATGGATCATACAGGTGATATTGAATTGACTTGGTATTTAACTCTCGTTAGGGAACTTGTTCATGCTCGTTATGGTACTTTACTTATCTACAAGGATATAATTATGTCTGTCTTCCGTCAATGTATTCGTATTATTCATAGACATTCATATGAAACTATTGCTAGAGCAGCAAAATATTTGTTGCAATCACTTACTCAATTACATGCAATTTATCATCTATTATCAGACGAAAATATAGATGAGTCATTTGCTGACTTTGTACCTATTCGAGTACGTTTTCTCATATGATCACTACTATAAAGTGTATGCCTTTTCCTTATTGTCAAGGGTTGGGGTCAACATGATGATTTCGATCAATTTCAAGTTCAATTTCATTTTCCAACTACAAATGAAATCGATTTTGCTTGTGAATTTGTTAATACATTCATTTATGATGAACTTCAATTGCAGAATGAAAACTGCTTGATTCTATCGAATGCTGAACGATTAAGATCACTTACAGTTATTTATTATATAGCTGCTGGATGTTTACATATGGTACCCAACATTAAAGATGATCTTGTGACAGATTTGTAAATATACAAATAAGAATGTACATTAATTAAATATGTTTCATTTATCATTTTCGTAGTGTATCACCAAATATTTCTTATCGGTCGAAATATAGATTTCGAAATTCAATCTTTTCCAAAGAATCGAGTAAGAAGAACGTCTTTAATAATAAACATCATATAAATTAGATTGGATAGAATTGTTTTTTATTCGAAATGAACAGTATTTCTCATAAGATGTTATTCTTCAGAATTTAGAGACAATTTACGCATACGTCTTCAGACTGATATTGGAAATTTAAATCTTCAGTTAATCAACGAGTACATAATGAAAAGTCAAGGGGGAAAAGGCGATACTCCATCTACTCCAAAGTAAATTTTGGAGTACAGCGGAGTACGATCGGAGTACAGTGGAGTAAGGTTGGAGTACGACTG